CCACCAGCTGCCACCCCTGCGGCAAGCACCTGCAACACCCAACGGCGGGCACACCTGCGGCAGCCACCAACGGCACACCAGCTGCCAACCCAGGCATACGCTGCCGCTAACAGCCGTCACCTATCAGCCTCCAGCAACGAGCGGCTGACACAATGACTACAGACGGCACCTCCGGCATCTCAGTCGAGCGCCTTGACTGGAACAACTACCCAGCATGGGCAGCCAACATGAAGTTCTTCCTCACCACCAAGAAATGCTGGCACATGGTCATCCACACCGAGCCTGCAGCCAACGCTGAAGACCGCAAGGCAGACGAGCTCGCCCTCTCCTACATCGGCCTGTGCGTCAAGCCGGTACACCAGCCCACCATCCTGCGCTGCACTACGTCCAACCAAGCCTGGACCACTCTGCAAGAAACCTTCGCCGCCAAGACCTTCGCGCGCAAGCTGCAGCTGCGCCGAGACCTCAACTCGCTCAAGATGTGTTGACGGGAGGTATTTACAAAGGCAGCAAGAGTAGTAAATTCGCACTAGAGGCGGCGTTAAATAGATCTGGGGTGGAGGAGCATATTCCCGGCATATACTTGGGATATTCCTGATACGATGCGGGTACGATGCGGCACAAAGGCATCATGGTATCGGTGAGCATAATGGCTGGGTCAGGTGCACGAAAGGGAGTGGCACAAGTGTCGATCAACTGGGAATGGGGTGGGGAAACACAATTGTGCGGTGTCTGGGGCGGGAAAGGCGGGAATGAGAGTATCAATGCAGCGGATGTGTAGACTGGACACGTGGCATTGTCACAGCTCAACACTCCCACGCAGGCTGCACAACCGTTGCACTTAGGCAATGCCCATTGCGTCGCGGCAGAACTTGAACTTGTTGGTGGGCACGGGCTTGGTCAGGATGTCGGCGACCATGGAGTCGGTGGGGATGTAGAAAAAGTTGACTTCTCCACGGGCGACTCGCTCGCGGGCAAAGTGGTGCACGATGTCGATGTGCTTGGAGCGGAGGGAGATGACGGGGTTCTTGAGCATGTGGATGGCAGACTGGCTGTCGGACTTGATGTCGATGCATGCAATGTGGAGGTCCAGGTCGGTGAAGAGCTTGCGGAGCCACAGGGCTTCCTTAACGGTGGAGG